CAAACACTTGTCAAATATGCTGAAAAAATTAGAATTCTTCAAAAGCAACACATAATGTAGGGTGATGGTCAGCTGAGCGGGTTTACTGAAGGTGATGCAGCCTTGGCTGTAGCAAGTAAAATCCATAAATGCAGTATATGTAATTATTTGACATAGACAAGAAAGCCAAAAAAAAAAATCAGTAATCTGTCAGTTTATGGTGAATCATCCAAAGTGAACCCCTGTACAGAAGCCCTCAGAATACTGCAGATATGAAAGAATTTAAGCAGCAAAGGGCCTTACTTTTCCCTTTCTCTCCCCAAGCTTAAATCAAAATTAAACCAACCAAGAAAATGTCATCCTGACACTGTGGTAAGCAGTAACTATGCAAACAACACAGGCAAAAATAGTGAACAAAGACATCATCAGCCACATGTACATACAATGAACGTCACTGGTACATCTTCAGCAGATAAAACTTACTTTTTTGGGGTTTGAAGCTTATGATTATTATCATCCAGAACAAATCCAAAGCTACCTCTCAAACTTCGTAAAGAACTTGACACTGTGACACATTCAGCTTCATGGCTGTGCCTGTATCAAATACCAGACTATGGGGGATGTCTTTATATTCTTTTTCCAATTTACGACAGTCCTTCTTTGGGCCCCAAAAATGCACCTGCATCATCTCCATTTTGTAAAGGAGCTGCAGCACAGCTGTGAATCCCAGGGTTTGCAGGCAAAATATTTTTCCCTTGGTATTTCTTCATGATTTCTTATTACTGCATCCTTCTTGTCTGTTTGCATTTTTCACTCTTCTAAACCTAAATCACAGGCCCTGTCCAGCATTTAACCACTGTAATTTTTTGTGTCAGCCCATCTTCCCAAGACATGCTTCTTTCAGATGTACCATTGAGATCTAAAAGGACAACTCACATGAACATGAATGCCAAGTCAGGCCTTGAATTATGCTACTGAATACAATGATAGGTGAATCAAAGAAAAAAGAAAAGCATCTTTGAAGGAGAAAGAATCACACATGCTCCTCTTTGTCTGATTATGAACATCAAATGATTCAAATCACAATATTCCAGGAGATTTCATCACAAGTTACCAGAGTTGCTACAGGATCCACTGGTCCAGACTTTCAATTATGTTGTCTCAAATCTCCAAAGCATTTTATGTTTGTGATGGAATTATGAAGAAAGTCTCCTAAGAGAGACATTAGACTGTGCTGCCACAAACACTGTGATGTGGACAGGCAATTTGCTTTCTCTTAGTAAAATATGAAAAAAAGGCAATAAAACTTGCGTGACTGCTGTCTTGCTCATTTATCACCTGCTGCCTGTGTACAGCAAAGCTCCCAGGCAACAAATGTCAAGTTGTCACAAACCTAAACCAGTGCAAATTTTAACAGGCATGGTCATTATCAAAAAAGTGACATTTGGAGGGGAAATACTGTCTTACTGATTCAGTAGAAAAGTGTTAAACAGTGTTTTCCACTGCCTGCAAACCCGGTCAGTGATCCTAAGGGCCACCAACCCTGCGTAGAGATACATACATAGTATTTCAGACTGAAAAAGAAAGACAATACATTTAATACTTCATAAGAACAGAAAGCAAAGCAAGTCCCTTCTCATTGGTCTTGCTTATGTTGTTCTTCATCTTTTCTCTACACCCATTTCCATGTCCAGCACAGCAATGGATGACTTGTCTGTTGTGAGCTCAGGAAGGAGGAAAGAGGAAGCTGCAGCCAAACAAAAACCTGCACTGAAGTGAAACCAGTGAGCAGCCTGCATTCCTGAGAGGCATGCTGCTGTCTCCACTCAGTCAAAATAAGCTGTTGGACAGACGGACATATATACATGGATGTAACTAAATATATGTGTGCACATATTTTTGCTTGACAATTAAATCAGTCCTCACCCACTGTAATACATAATCTGGCCATGCACGCTACACACAGATTAGCAGACACTTCATCCCAGGGCTTTAAAAAATCCCACCATTTAAAAACTTTCTAACACATCTCTACACACCTATTCATAAACCACCACCTAATTAATGTATACATAGCATACCTATGCCTGAAATATGTGTGATGTGTGATGCCCATGGGATCTTTGATTGCCTTTATCTTCCCTACCCTTAAGTTTCCAACTGCCCTTTCTGGCTGTGTGAATCAGCTTTGGCCATGATTTTGAATCTACAGGCTCACTGGCAGCATGTTGCAGGAGCAACTGGGACTTCATGCTGTGGTTGAGCTGTAATATAGACAAATTAGTTATTTTTAATTTTAAAAATATACGCTGATCATTTCTGATTTTATGTCTTAGCTTATTAACAGTGACTCTTAAATCACATTCATTAATTACTTTTACCTATTATTCTTAAATCTGTCCTTGTTCTTGCTGGCAGTGACGCAGTTCAAGAGTAAGATCAACGCATGCTTTGTGCACACCTCCCTCTAGCGGACGGAAAGCCCGGGAAAATCACCAAAGTACAGCAAGGCAGTGTCTCCATCTAGGGAGACGCGAATACTAAGGATAATTAATAAAGAAGAAATGGTGGTGCCCAGCTGTCCTTATAACATCAGCTCAAGATTACCCGGGAAGTAATGGACATTTACTAAAATGCTAAAAATACCAGAAACAGAAGGCTGATTTGAGGAAAAAGTCTTACTGGATTTATAAAAATTTATTTAATTGCTAAGCAGGAGTCTCTAACATTATAGTCCTGGAGATTTATTTTGTGAACCTTCAGGGAGTGGTTTGGAGAGAACAAAATGTGTCATAAATTATATCTCTAAAAGCTATCTCCTTGAGAAAGCCTGCTGTAAATTTTTCAGCTTTAGGTTTGAATCAGCTTCACTATTGTACCATGTGGGTAGGGACCACTTTGGTGACGCAGCATTGCTCTTGGTGAAAGATAAACCCCATTTAAATGAGACTGACTTTTCTGGACAATATGACCATTTGAACTGGTGTAACTACACCAGCAATTCTCCCCGTCTGTGAGAAGCCTGATATAAAACTGTGAAGGTATGCTAGTGTCAAAACTGTGACAGTGCAGCTCTCCCAGGGAGGAGTCAGCACAGGTCACGGTTGCAAGGTTAGGACTTGTGTCCCACATGCTTGGCAAGCAGCCAAGCATGCCCCAAGCCTCTGCAGCCTCCCCTTCCTTGGTATCTCTGTGGCAATCCTGCAACGTCACCCTGTGCTGTGACTGGGGCACGGCAAGGCACGTTGCTCCCCTACAGTGGGATGCAGGAACTCAGCAGGCACTAGCTGCTGTGCCCATTCACCCACTCCACCTTGAAGGCTGCTGGCAGCAGGGAGAAAGGTCCTTGCACACGGGTAGCAGCTCCTGCCACCCCTTGTGATCCCCCAACTCCTCTGGCTGCTGCCAGGAAGGCACAGGGTGCCTGCAAATGGCTACGTCCCACAGCCCTTCTATCCCTGCAATAACGAAGCTAAAAGTCTGGAAGAGGGTTAGTCGTTTCGAAGTGCCTTCACAAACCGACAAGGCGCGCTGCGTCAAGGGGCGCATCCCTTCAATGAAGCCATATAGAGAACAGCGGTACACATGTTACTGTTAGATGGCAGGCGGGAACACCGCGGCTAAGCAGCAAGGGCACATCGTGACCCCACGGGCGGCCTCTGAGTGAGGCAGAGAACCGCTCCGGGGGGGGCAGCGCAGCCGATGGACCGGTCCCCCCAGGAGGCGCTTGCGGCCTCCTCCACACGTTCGCAGCGGGGCGGGCCCGGCGGTGACACCTCCACCGCGCTCCTGAGGGGCCGCGGCCCCGCCGTACTGCCCGCGCCCCCCTTTCCCGCCTACAACATGGCGGGAGGGCGGACCCGGAGCGGACGGAAGTGACGTCACCGCCCCGCTGGCCTGCCCGCCCCATTGGCTGCCACGGGGCCGCTGCTTCACTCCAGAGTAGTGACTCTGTGAAAGTGGATTGCTGGTTCCAGAAAATCAAGCAAACTGCTGCTGCTAAATTATTTCTGTTTTGGTCCCCCCTCACTTTTCCAGTTCGTTTCCCAGACTCACTCAGTTTACTGTAAAGCTGGGATCAACAGAAATGCAGCAAGTGGAAATTTTATTTTTATACGTCTCTGCTGAAGTACAGCATTCCCTCCGATTCACATTCCCTCTCACTGCCAGCCCTCTGAAGAGGGAAACTGGTTATTTGTAACAGGGATCTGGTTGCAGTAACCAAACAGGGCATGTGCATTTTATCACGGGGGTTTATGACCACTGGATCTCGGTGGTTGGTATTGTTACCTTACAAGTGCTGCTTTTACTTGTCAGAGATGAACACAATCATGCTGATCTTATCAAGAGCATTTTTCTGTTTCTCTGTTTCATTCTTCTGTTTTCTAAAGAGTCTCACTGGGTTTTGGCTTGGTGTTGCCTTATCCTTTTAGGAAGAATTGGGTTTTTGCTCTAAGTACCAACTTGAGCAGTCTTGTGGCAAAGTTATTTGGTAAACTCTATGGCCTGTAGTACTGGGGTTGCAATTCTTGCTGCTCATGGTAGGTCAGGTAAAATGTGTATGTGCATTAACCTGATCGCTTGCGCATGTTTGAGTGTTTGTTCACTGATAGAAATAGAATCATGCCCTTCCTCTGATACCTGTAGTGAAATACACCTGAAAAGAGTTGGATAGCAAGTGAGCAGCTTGCTTAGTTTCTTTACGTTTTTCAAGGAAAGTGCTTAAAAATCTTTATTGTTTCTATCCCATGGTGAGTTGGGAGTAAGCTTTGCTTTGTCTTATGCATGCCTGCTTAATGGCAGACTTACTTTAAAATGGAGACTGCAGCCTGAAAAACTACAGCCTTAGAAAAAAGTATCAAAACCGACTCAAAACGAAGTTCCTGGAACAGCTCTTCAAATACTGTGCGTAGTACTCAGCCTGTGCAGCTGGTGGTGGTTGTCCTTCACTGTGGATCATC